AACCCTATGCCCTATGGCTGCCTGGTGTCCATTCGGAGTCGGCGGCATTGGCGGCAGCCATTAAATAGTATACCTGCGAGAATCTGTCATGTCCTGTACACGCCATGTTTGCATCTTATTCCAGGTGATCCATTCTTTCATGATTGATATGCATCATACCATATGAAAACATGTACAATGCATTTTGTTCAGTATAAGTACAAGTGTACATATGTTGGTGTAAACAAACGTGTGCACGAACACATATATAAGTACACACATAGTCGCATGTGCGTGTCAAGATCATCTGTGGACACAGCAAACTCGCTGTATGCTGTCGTGCATTAACGTTCTACATCGACGCCCGATATGCCTTCACTGTGTGCAATGCTATGAAACCACACCCAGGCACCAACTATCGTCACAGAGGCTGAGGATGGTGCTCATAGAACGGTGTATTAAGAGCTGCATGCTCCATTCGGCACTGCTCCACCATGCCTGGAGCGGAATCAGCTCTGAAACCTGGTAGAATCTGTTACTGTAGGTTCTGGTGGCATCGAAAGTGCTTCCAGGTTGCCAGACCAGTGTCGCACGCCTATGAGCGCCTCTTCCTGGGCTTCAGCACAAGCACAAAGTGATCGCAGGTCAGCCGTCAAGACGGAAGGTGCACTTCGCCCACTTTCCGCGTTCAATTGTCATAGGTTATGGTAGTGATCTCCCACAAGCAATAATAAAGACAAAATCGTAAAGACGGAGACTGCAAACTACCTGACATCAGAGTGCTGACGCTCGATGGCTTTCATGTAGCTGACGGAACCTTCCAAACCTCTAGACTTGCAGCAACGCAAGCATCTTTTCTTTGCTCTTAGTTTTTGCTTTACTGCATACAGAGCGTCTGATTTCTGGGTGGCCTGGTGCAACTGCATCTGTATCAGGTTCAAGTTCTGCTCCACCTCGAAATGAATTCTCGAAAGGCTTGGAGTAGAAAAACGAAGACTTTGCTGCATTGTCCGGGGCATCTCTTCTGGTGTATATGCAACTACGAGTAGGGCACGAGACGACTGCTCTATCGACAGTGCTCATACTCCCCATAATTAACCCTTCGTCTCACCACCCGTCATCAGTAGCGCGATGCATCCGCTCTACGGAGTCTCACACTGAGCAGTCTCATTAGCCGCCTGCGTCACCTTTGTGCGGACATCACTCGCTGCACTGAAAGCAGCCCACAATGCGCTCTTCAGTTCCTTGGTGACGGCCATAGTGCTGATCAAATTTGATCGAGGATTCATGCATGTCGCATTTTACCCGAAATGCGTACCTTCAACCGTTCATCAGACCTCATCTTTGAGAAAGGCGCCTGAACATTCAAGGTCTCCACCACCACGAAATTTCAGCACGACATCTGCAGTTGCAACTTTTACAGACATTTCGCCGTTCGCGTCAAGGTTCGTTACAAAGGCTGGCTCAACGGCTACAGTATGTGAAATATCTGTATATGTCGGCTGCAACACGCACACAAACACATACACACACACACACGCGCGCAACAAAAAAATACAATATATATATATATATATGTATGTATAGATTGTCGAGTCGTCTTGCTGGCAGCTTCACTGCTGCTCGTGTGGACCACTATCGAATCTCTCTCGCTTCACTTAAAAATTGAAGGCACGTGTACATCGAATTCACCTTCTGATGACTTTGCAATGTTATTTCGTCCTCACCAAAGGCAGTATTTTGACCGCTTTGTGACTCCTTCGGGTCACTGCGTCTTCTTAATTAATGACGAACGTTCATGTCATGACATGCTATTGAAGCGAGAAATCTTGCCCCTACCACTTTACTATCACTCCCAACAGTACGCAGATTTGCCAGCGAATGCGTTGACAATAGGCCAACACAGGGTTGTGCGGGCTGAGCTGACTGGCGATGTCAGCATGCTTTTCAGTTAGGCGGCTGAAACCAACGAGGGTGGGCGTGCTTCTGAAGGAGGGATGGTGCCCAGGTTTTCTTCAATTCAGGCAAGGCTCGGTGTGCTCTTTGTCAAGCTCAGAGACTGCGCTTCCCTGGGCAGGTGCTTGGGATTTCCTTCCAGCATCCTGTTTCGATCACACATCGCTTTGTCAGGCACACTTGCCGCGTGCTGCTCAAAAGACAAACGATGTCTGCGAGAAACTTCCAGCAATCGCAACGCACGACAACCTCTGCTCATTGAACATCGCAACGTTTCAATTTACACCAGACCTGGGACCAGTACGCACTGCGTAGACGGATCTTCATAGTTCCTGGCTAAAGGCCTGCTTTGAGCCGGGCCACAACCTATCCAACGACCCTAGCCATATGTATGTATATATATATCTATCTATCTGTCTATCTATCTATCTATCTATCTATCTATCTATCTATCTATCTATATGTGTGTGTGTGTGCTTGGGAATGCATAGGTGTGGGCATATGTGTATATGTTTGTATGTGTGTACGTATGCATTTATGCATGTATGCAAGGATGGGTGGATGGACGCCGGGATGGAAGTATTGATGTATGTACGCATGTGAATGTATACGTATATACAGTATATCATCATCCATGTCCGACCAACGCAAGCCCTTGAAACCAAAACCCCAAAACCTAAGTCCTAAACTTCAAATTATATAACCCTAAACCCTAAACCCTAAACCGCAGATTAATATGCAACATTTGTGAAAATCCGCTCAAACCCCCAAGGCTTGGGGCGGGAGAGGGCCGCTCCCCTGTGGATGACGAGCTGGAGCTGGCCCGGAAGATTCCTGGGTTTTTGTTGGGTTTAGGGTTTAGGGCTTAGGGTTAAGGGGTTTAGGGTTTAGAGTTGTTGGATTTCGGTCTAGAGTTTAGCCAGCGCCATAGTAACCAAAATGATTTTGAGTTCTGTTGCTGCCAAATTTCTATAGCAGAAGTCCAGCAATCATACTCGCAGTGGCAAGCAACAGCAATAGCAGCAATAGCAAGAACAAGAGCAAGCGCCATCGCGATCGCGATCGCAACAGCAATAGCAGCATCAATAGCAGTAGAAGTAAGGCCCCGAAGACGTACCGATTCACAAATCAAGTCCTCTATGAACAATCCAGTAAACGCTATCTGCTTTCCTTGTCATGCCAGAACATACCTGAATAGTATATTTAACTATAACGTATTATCCACGTGTGAGTTTTTGAAGAAGAACTCAGGATCCAGCGGATCCTGGAAAGCAAACTCCGGGCCAGGAAGTAAGCTGAAAGCGCGGTTTAGGTTTATGCTCTTGGGTTTAGGGTTTAGAGTTGAGAGTTGTGATCGCTTTTCGGGGCACCACAAGCTTGGGATCATTGTATTGCGTGTATTAGTCAGGAGTCTACTGTCGCAGTAAGAGGAGCAGGAATGAGAATAGTAAGTCAGCGCGGCAGTGTAGCAGTAGAATAGGTCATGGAAGTAGTATGCACTGGTACTGGAAATACATGCAAGTGTCAGCGCTGGACAATGAGTGGAGTTGTTGTACATACAAGTGCGGCGAAAAAACACACAGGACGCATGACCCCTTGCCACTGTTCCTGAGCCTGCACCTTCGACTGATGCAGCAGTAGAAGATAAACCGTTAAAAGCCATGCAGTTTGTTTGCGCGCCTTAGCTCAAAGGCGGTCATTCTCTCGTGCTAGACTCGAGTGCAGAGTGTTAAGACGATGGCAAAATCCCGCAACTACCACTGCAGCTATGCACCCCCGTGCTGGCCCACCGCTGTGGCTGGAAGAGGAGGAAGAGGGTTATGCTGCCGGCGAGCCTTCGCAACAAGTGCTGGAAACCTCCGATTGGTTCTGCTCTACGAGGATGCACTTCCATAGCTCATGTCTTGAGGGCCATACCGGGCGTTGCGCATGACCTGCATGGCTCAGCATGCGCGTGAAGTCCTGATCTGTTCGATGTCGGCGACCCAAACCTGCAGACCAACAACCGAGGCAGCCCAAGGCTGGGACTCATGGAGTCCCGACCAGGGCAGCGCATGGCTTTGGACAAAGCCATGGGTCTACAAGTGTTTGCTGGCGGGGGCAGTGCTCATTCTAAGCCTGTTGCGCTCGGCCCTGCGCAGCTGATGAAAGCTGCTACTGTGGCATATCTTCGTGTCGGTACGCCGGCATCTTTTGTCTAGCGCTGCTCTGCAGACACCTGAGCTGCGTGCCTCTTTTTAGTGGGAGTTGCTCAAAGGTGGCTTGTGGCCTCCGCAATTGAGACGATGCCGAACCGGGCCTTTCAGGACACATGCAAGGCCGTGTGTCATATTCACAAGCTCCTCATCGCCCACACGGATGTCAAGGCAGCCGTTGGCTGCCTTGACATCCGTGTGCGCGATCAGGAGCTTGTGGATATGACAGACGGCCTTGCATGTGTCCTGAAAGGCCTCTACCAGGTCATGGTGGCACAGATTGCCTTCGCTGGAAGTGTTTCGCTGACGAGTGCGGACCAGGTCATGTTACGAATGCCAGGAGACCTAACAGCCGTGTCACCCGAAAGGTCAGAGGGGCACATTGCCAAGCTCCACAAGAAGATACTTTTATAGTGGATCACACCTTCCGTAGATTGATGGAAAAGGCACAGGATGATGGTGATGAGACGGGGCGCGAGGCGCTGCAAGCGCGCATCCGGCCCCTGCTGAGGGCCGCGCACGAGAGGCCTCCGATGCCACAAATCTTAGAAGACTTCAAGAAGCCGATCAGAGAAGAACCGGAACCGGCCGAACCTCTGCCGAATCTGCTTAGCAGCACGGTAGTTCCTCATGATCATTGGTGGTTGTGGATCTCGTAGCACGGCAGATGACTTAGTCGACAGAAGAAAGTTAGTGGATCTGGTTGCGCGGCAGATGATTCAGACTCCGCCCGCAAGACTTGCAGACGTGGCGTTGTTCAAAGCCCATGCGCTTCCCCGTCGCGACCCATGGCCCCGCTGCACCAGTCAGGCCGGTCTCGGGTATACCTTTAGGCACCCCAGGAAGGAACAAGACGGACAGGCTCCCCACTGTCACGGCAGATCGGGAATTGCAGGAGAGAGTGCGACCACTGTGAGGAAAGTTTCCTCACTCATGCCTGCAATTCCGTAATCTTCGCAACCGCCGAGCCTCAGCCGAGTATGGCAGACAGGCTCTAACATTGTGCAGAACCACTGCCAGCACTTTTGCTGTGCAAGCCAGCATTCCAAGACACGCTGGCAAAGCTCTTTGAATAGGCGCCCAGTGGTGCCCAGGTCAGTGGGCTGGACATGGCTTCCATGAAGCTGTACTATGGAGACGTGAAATATGGAGACGTGATTACCATGGCGCGGTTTCATCAACGCTTCAGCGTCGGCACTAGTTCCTGCGTCCATGCAGTTTTCACGTAGATAGACATGACACCTGAAGTTTCGCGGTCGCTTTTGACACAAGTTCCATCAATATTCGGTCCATTGGACAATGGATGAACCGATCCGTGGGCAGACCGAGCCCTGCATGCGTCGTGACTGGCAAAACTTGCTGGTTGGGAGGCTGTTTTCAATTTTGCTTGCCGGAAGTGTCTGGCGTCAGGAGACACATTTGGGTCGATCACGGCCTTTCATCACTGATCGTTGAGGAATGTTGAGGAGATGAAACTTGTAGATAATTTGCCACAAAGCCACAAAAGCATCTGGCACTGCTTTTGTTGAGACGGTAGCTACAGCTCCTCTGAGGCATGCAGCGAGTGTTGTTGGGCATGGATCGCGACTGCCAATCTTTGTCCTGCCCTTACGAAGCTTGTCCTGCCAGTTCAAATTCAAGCTGGAGATGCTCCCTTAGAGCCTTAGATTAGGTGTTGGCAGGGTTGTGATAAGGCCTTGTCTCAGTTCTCTCTCGAATGGCAGCACTCCAGGCACAGATCGCTGGAGTTGCCGCATCCCAGCTTGCCCGCGTTTTGCAGAAGCACGGCGAGAGGCGCGTCACGGATTGTGTGGGTCAAGTGAGTGTGTGTGTGTGTGTTTGTGACTTCTCTTGGTGACGCCTTCAGGCATCGAAGGCGACGAGCTGTCAACACCGAGGTCTGCAGTGTTTTCCAGAATACTTGATTGCTTTCTCACGTCCCTGTAGCAACAACCAGTTTTGTTTCTTTTCTGCAGGCCTCAGCATCTGACCTGCATCTATGACTATGACAGTCAGCCACAAGGCCAAGCAAGTGGCGGCATCGGTCGACGCCTCCATCTGGGCACTCGGCATGATCTGCGAGCACCAGGAGAGATGCAGATGGTCCTGCAGCTCTTCTGCACCTTGAGAGCTGCTGCGCGTTCGTGTGTTGCGAAGGAGAAGAACGTCGGAGGCGATTCTACTGGGGCCTGGCAGATGTGGCTGTCGGGTGCTCAGCGGACCGGGCTCGGCTGGATTCGGGTACGGCAAACCCGTCCCTCAGGTCCCACATGCCTCCGCGCTACGACAAGGAGATTGGCCAGAAGGCAGATCCGAGTTGGACCGGCTCCGCCCCTGCGCTTCGCAGAGCTTTCAGGCGAGCGCGCAGCTTCTGGAGCTCGTGGTCAAAAACCACCCGGCCTTGCTCCCCAGAGGTTGTGTGGAAAAGAGCCATGCCATGCGATGCCATGCGTGGACACACCGAGGTAGTGACGGCGAATGAGCAGCTGCCCAGAGTCGGACTCTTGGGGTCGGAAAGAGCCAGGAGAGCGTGCGAGGAGTTGTGTTTCCTCATAAACGCGCTTCCCGAACGGAGGTTCTCGCGATTTTTGCAGACGTCTACAAGCTTGGGGCTTATGCGGTCCCAGTGTAGCATACACTTACTTCGTGTTCCGTTCCTAGCATGCGACCCAGGTCCAAGAACTCGAATTCAGTTCTAGACAAGGACCGCTCGGCTCTGGACCTTTCATTCGCGAGAAGTGGCGCCGCTTCGACAGGAAATGGCGTCTGCAGTGGCGCGAGCTGGGGAGGGGCACGGCTCTCGATCTTATGCTTCATTCCCCTGGTGCATAGAGAAATGCTTTGCTACCCCAAATAGTGGGGCACCATGGGGTTATTCCATTCAGCGTAAACGGATTCGTACACTAGCTGTCGGCGATTCGCGCGTGGCAGGCATGCAGTGCGCGATGGTTCCGCGGGTCCTGCTGTGGCACGATACTGTAGGTGCTTCGGATCTTGATAAATCGCGCTCCCGCCATAGTACCGTATATGTTGGGTGTTTTTTGGATGGAAACCGTGATCGACAACTGGATAAGTCTCGGGCTATTTCGAGTCGGTGAGGCTTTTCTGTGCTCCGGCCCCGAAAGGTCGGTGAAGGGCCTGGCGGCAAATCTCCCAGAAAGGCCAATGATGCAACATCCGTGCAGTCACTTGCCTCTGCTCGACATAGCGAGGAGTAAGGCTTCTAGTATCATTCCTGGGCTGTGACCGTCTGGCACAGAGGCAGCGAAGATGCGCAGGCTTTGCATGCAATTTCGCTTCAACCCTCTGCCGCCGCGGTGGGCCCAAGAGTGTTTGTAGTTCGCCAAAGCCCTTCCCCATTGATCATTATTCCGGATGCCGGCAGTCAGTATGAGAAGCTCGGCCCCAGTTGATACGCTATGCAAATGCCACATGCACCAAGGAGTCAGAAGCAGCAATGTGCAGCAAAACTAGGCCATGAGCAATAGATCCGGCAATACTGTAAGGGACAGTAGCAGTAGCAATCGCACTCCACTTATTTGCGTGCGGCGCAACTGCGAGCAATAACATGACTGGTGATACCGCGTTCCGATTGCTATCTTGTTGTTGGTATCGTTTCTTACATCAAAGCTACTGGCTACTGCACATGTGAATTGCTTGTATATATTCGATGTGAGTGTCATTATCATGTCAGCGGCCACTATATGTAGTCCTTCGATGTTCTAATCATCAGCCGCAGCATCGACAGCAACAGCAACAGCAATAACAGCAACAGCAAGATCAGTGACGACCATCATTTCGTTTAGTATTTTACCTCAAGCATCGCGGACGAGTCTGTCGGAGCTGGTTGCAGGATGTGCTCTGCTGCTCCTGACCCTGACCCAATATACAGCTGATGCAACTAGATCTCTGCCGGTGCCGGTCTCAGCTCTTGGGAGTTGTAGCTGGGGGGCTTCAAACGAGGGTGTTTTCCTAGGCCAGTCGGCCAGCGGCGGGGGAATTCGGGGGCTGTGGGATGCTGGGCTTTCACGGTTTTGAGCATGGAGTGAAGGCACGCCAGACAGGCACCACGCAGGGTCGAAGTCGAAGTGCTCAGAGCACAGTTGACAGGAGACGTTCTGCAACCACCAGCCACCCCTTTCTTCCGAGAGGTTTGCTTGCTCCGAAGCCTGTGATGCAGGTGCTGGATCTGCTGAGCAACGACGAGTTTGTTCCAGAGAGGCTCGATCGGGCCGTAGATTTGTTTTTGCTCCGGCAAGCTTCTTCGATGCTGTGACACCAAAACTGGGCGACATGTATGGTCGCACAGCTCCTGTGACTGACAGGCATTCATTCGAATGGCTACCTTGCGATGCTGAGCTTGTGCACTGCGGCCAAGACTATTTTTACGAGGCATGCATTGCACCATCTTGACAAGACGGTGGCAGTGTACCCGCTGGGAGGTGTACCAGCAGTTCCAAAAGGCAAACGAGATCATCGTGGCTTGGATGCGGGGCTGTTGTATGGCATGGAACTTCACTGGGATATCGCTGGTAGTTTTCAACTGCTACAGGTGCAATGTCAGGCAATCATTAAGACTCCGACGGGTGAGCATATGCTGGCAAAACTGGCCAACGACTATTTGGGATCTGTTCTCAGCCACGATGGTCTACCAGGGCATGAACTTGGTCGGAGCATCGGGATGGCAAAGCGTGAACTCCAAAGAGTTTGGAAGCATTCTTCGTTATCGCGGGACTGGAAGGTTCAAGTCAATAAAGCTCTTGTTGAATCCAAGCTGGGCTATTCGAAAAACTGCTTGTGTTTATTTGCCGCGGATCGTCGGCCTCTTAATGGTTTTCAGAACCGTTGCTTGCGAAGTAGTGTTGGCATCCCACCTGCTTTCATTTCGAGAGTGCCCAATACGGAAGTTCGGCACAGATCTTGCTACCCCGCTGCTAGAGACATGCTCTTGAATCTTGAAACGACAGTGCTGGGATCTTCATACGAGCACCCTTTGCACAGTTATTCGCGGAACATTGCAGCCTGCCACATTCATGTATCTGAGAAGAGTGGGGAGGCCACGACAATGGGTCACATCTGCTAGGGGCAAAGCATGTCAATTTCTTGAGAAGGCCGCCTTGAGATATCCGGACTTGTATCGAATCCTCATGTCTGGTGTCGTGCAGTGTGCTAGCTTACCTGTCCACGCGCAGCCCGGCGTATGACCGAATAAGTGACTGCTTGGACTGTTTCTTGAAGTATCGAAGCCCCGCAACCGCGCTAGTTCAGCCCCCGGTTGGTTGGTGACCGAGTAAGACGCAGAATGCTGTTTGCAAAGCTGTTGGATTTGCTGCACATGGCAGTTTCGGCAGAGGTGATGGGCTGGTGGACGGTGATCGCCGCTTGGTCCAAGTCCGGAAGTTGCAAGAAAACTCAGCAGACTCGCAAGGCCGCTCACGGCCGCTCGATCGAGCCGACTCCTGACCTGAGGATGCTAAGATCTTCAGTCCGACCTACGGAGAGCCCCCGAGCTTGACCATGAAAGAAGCAAGGTTGCAAGGAGGTGCAAGGAGTGGTGTGTCTTTCACATGGGAAGAGCCCTCACCCTCGCGACCATCAGGACCTCATCAAGGAAGCTGCAGAACGTGGTGCGACGATCTACTACTTGTTTTGGCAGCTTGGGGGCATTGGTCGAAATGTCGAACTTCTATGCAAAGGCTCAGCGTAAATTGCCGTCATGCTGTGGACAGAAGTGACGCAAAGTGTCACCAGGCAGACTCTTCTATCGGAGAAGATGGGATATCCCGTGACAGCGCCGGCTGCGGAATTGCGTGCTTTGCATCCAAACGTGAAAACGTCGCTCGCCAGAAGTTCTCGCCACATCCACGGGGCCTGGCTTGAATTTGGCGCTTTGCATGGGCCCAGGCTGGTAGACACGAGCAGAGATACCGCGGGGAGCCCATGGCTGTGAATGCTTCGCCAGCCGCTTTTCAGTCGACGCCACAGTGTTGTCGCCTGGACAGGTCACAGTCTTGTGGTCAGCTCACATCAAGGTGACAATCTTTGCCGCTCGGCATGTTAGCTTGCCCTCATATCTTAGATTGACTGGTCTAGCAACAGCTCGCGGATGGTAAGTAGGGCGAAGTCAAAGCTTCTCGAGGCTTTATGCTGGAATTGATACTTGTAGTGAGTGGCTTTGCAGGACCGCGGCCTAGCATACGCCGGTGGAATCGACTTTGCTGGTTCACGTTTGGACTCGGCAAGGCCGTGTTTTGCAGTGTGCTTTAGTCACCTGGAAGGGTTCTTAAGTAGCGAAGCGTGTGCAGGCACAAGCTGCCTGACCAGGCATCGCATGCATTCGGTGAGGGCGTCTTAGGAATTGGGACGAAGCCCTGCCTGATTGTGGTGCGGGCGAGAGGCAAGAACTCCATCCCCGGGCAACTTGAAGGACGGACAGCACGGATATTTCAAGCCTTGGCCACTTGCCCGAACCGGTACACTCTGGCTGGGAGTTGGCTCTTCCCGGCTGCCATGTTGCTCAGGGAAGACGTGATGGTCAAGCTCACCGGTGAGGCGGCCGAAGACTTGGCGGCGGTCTGGGGCTGAGGTCACACTGTTGACGTACAACGGTCACCGACAGTGCCCCCGCGGATTTCTTGACTTGTTGGGAGATTGTTACGAGATGTTACGAGGTGGCCGTAGAACGCTGGTGGACGTGGTGCGAGTGACATGGCCAGTGATAATGGAGTTGCATCTTGTGGTTGACTGCTCCTGAGCGGATGACTCGTTGTTGCTGAGGCAATTTTCGAGGTTTGCGTTCTCAACGAGGGATGAGCCTAGGACTCAGTTGCGCCGACTCTTGGGCATAGGCCTTGCGATGCCTTGCGTCAAGCGCCAAGGTGTAAGACAGAGAATATGCCGCCATTGACATCGTTGGGAAGTCTGTCGGTAAAGCTGCTCTCCAAGGCGAATGTTGAGACATCCCAGGAGCCAGTCAGAGTGGTACCACTGGCACTGGTCAGAGGCAGAAGGCACCGAGCGCGTCGTGCTTCAGACGGACGGGGCCTACGCAGTGACACCGGTGATGATCCCAGAAATCTGACGCGTCCTACGTTCAAGTCTTTGGTGCCTCTGTCTGAGGTTGCAGACATGACCGCGATAGGTCAGGCTGCGGTGTTGGATCTTGGCGCCCGCCGCGACCTGTCCAAGCGGGCCGTGCTGAAGGTCTATGTCGTCACACGGAAAGGCCACGAGCCGAAAGCAACGAAAGGAGCTGAGGACTTAGGCATTTCAATAGACCGCGCCCAGGGCCTGGATATGATGTATGTTTCTGGATTCAGAAACACCTCTGTTCGTTTTTAAGGGTGGTTGACAAACGGCTTAGCTTTAACATACTCCTAGTTCCTGGCCTGGCAAGCCATGTATCGTCACGGCATTGTCACTCGCGCTGTGCAGGTCACCTTTTCGCCGAGCCCCCAGCAGAGACAAGCACGACTCCTTTTCAAGGAGCTAGTGCGATGTGCTGTTGTCGGGTAGAGTGCTGTTGAATAAGTTCCTTTAGCCGCTGGTACCACGTTGCAGGCTTTCGCATCACCCCTGTTCCTTCTTGGTCAAGTAGCTGTCATGTGTTGCCATATTGCAGAACAAGTGTAGTGAGCGACTCAACGGTGCGGCTGCCGACGCTGCCACAACGAGTGGTGGGACCTTCGAGTAGGACTCTAACCGTATGGCGCACTTCGATTTTTCAGATGCGCTAAGCCTTTAAGCTAAGTCCTCGAGTGTGATGTGTGAAGACATACGCGACGAACGCGGCAGGGATCGAATGCAGAATCAAATCTCATCGTTCATCGTGCCAGGAGCTTCTCCGGCCGTAACACCTTGCAGGCACAAGCAGTTCCACTCAGGTCTCCTTTATGGGGAAGACGCTCACCATCTGAGGAATGTGATGAGCCCACACGCATCAAATCGGCAGTTGTGACTGTCAATGCCTTCGTACATACCACCGGCTGGGGCGAATGACCGTGCTTTATCACCGAGCCAGAGTCGATACCGATTCCGCTATAAGCGCCCATAAGCTCCGCTATGGTCCATCAGATCATCGGCGACATGATTTCAGCGTCCAGCTAGTGCGAACCGGACACTGGACAGTGCTGTGCGCATTGCTGCTCGCGAACTTCGAATATTCTGACACTCTTGGTCGAGGCTTACCGACTCCGCAGGTCCAAAACCCCCAGACCCAGAATCTTCTCAAGCCATGCCCACCGACATTTCCCGTTCTGTTTCGCAGGAGATCTTTGTACCGTGGTCACCGGAGGGAGCAAAACCACTTCACTCGTCTCCTTCAGAGGCTGCACCTGCGAGGCTGGGGTCTGAGCAGCTGGGCCTTCGGCAACAATATAATATCTGTTATATTTAGTGTAATATGTTATATAATATAAAGAATATATATATATATATACTATACTATAATATATATATATATATAATATACTATACTATAATATATATATATATATATATATAATACATACAGTTTCCATGTTCGTGTCGTGGGCATCGCTTGGGCTTCGCTTGCAGGGAGATGCAAGGGTCGCCGGCAAGGACCCTGCCTGTAAGACCGAAGAGATGATGAAGGAGCCGCTCGTCCATATTGTTCAAAGATGAAAGGTCGATCTTCAAAGCTGACGACGTGGCATTTGGAGATGTTTTGGGTTTGACAAACTTCGCTGACTTGCAGGTATGATGCCAACGAGCTGCTGGGCTTGGGTTGCTTCTGCCAAGACTACTCCAAGCCTTCATCTCAGTTCAGAAAGGGCACCGTCAGATTTTCGCTTTTGCTTTTCTTTGGGTGCCCCTTGGGTGGTTCGAGGACTTTCGCGGTTGTCGACCTCCGCTCGGATTCTCCAAAGGAGGTGACCGTGGCAGGAGTGGCTTTGCTGCCTTGTTGGGACGGGGAAGCCGCAGAGCTGCTCTCCAGGAGCCACGTTGCAGATCCAGCATTCCAAAAAAGCTGTTGCCCTGGCCGCTTCTGCAACTGGCCTTCAATAATCACGAAAGCTCGCGGAGCAGGGCTTCAGTCCTACTCTTAGTCCTACTTTTTCTCCTCCTCCTACTACTGCTACTGCTACTGCTACTGCTACTGCTACTGCTACTGCTACTGCTACTGCTACTGCTACTGCTACTGCTACTGCTACTGCTACTACTACGACTTCTACTACTACTGCTACTGCTACTACTACGACTGCTACTACTACTACTACTACTACTGCTGCTACTACTACTACTACTACTACTACTACTGGCAGCAGTGGTAGCAGCGAGCAGCGACACCATGAGGAGAAAGAGGAAGAGGAGCAGGAAGAGGAAGTGGAGGAGGAAGAGGAGGAGGAAGAGGTGAAGGAAGCACAGGAGGAGGAGGAGGAGGAGGATCAGAAGGGGAGGAGGAGGGGCAGCAGCAGCAGTGGTGGCAGTGGCCGTGGCAGTGGCAGTGGTAGCAGCAGCAGGAGTAGGAGTGGGAGGAGTAGGAGGAGTAGGAGTAGTAGCAGTAGTGCAGTGGGAGTGGTAGGAGTAGGAGCGCTAGGAGTAACACGAGTGGTAGGAGTATCAGGAGTAGGAGTGTTGGAGTTGTCGTCGCCGTGCTACATGAGTGTAGTGGCAAAGGGCAATAAGTGACCATCGTGCTGAGAGTGTTGACCTGTAGTTGAACCCTCGAAGTGCCTGCATCACTTCGCTCCTTGGATCAGGCGCAGAACCAATGCCGCATGCTGCTTCAAGGCAAGGTCCGTCAGACTTTCCGCGAAATGGACACGTGAAAAGGGGATGGTCCCGCTATGCTACTGCAGTGGGGTGGGTCCTTGGTCACGGCACTCCTCGACCCATTCGATGGTTGATGGTCCTTCCGAGTGAGGGCTGCAGCAGGAAACTACCCGATGCTGTTGACAAATTGGCACATGTGCACATGAATTTTCTGGCCAGGAAGCAACATGTGGTTTGGAGCAAAGCAGGTGGTGGCTGACATATTTCAGGCTGGCTCTCGTGTTTCGGAGTGCTTTCCTGCTCTCCTTGCTGCCAGAGCATCTTCGTTCGGATGTGTCGCAGGAGCATCGACAGATGATTCTCAGAGCAGAAAAAAGTGTTACTTGGTCTGCTAGAAGACGTTTTGAAACCTCTTTGGTGCCTCGAACCGATGACCATGGGGCTTAAGGTTTACATCGAGAACCAGTACTTCGGGAGCCATTTGAGCAGCAAAGATGCTTGGAACGCTTCAGTTGCCGTGAAGACTGGTTTCAGCCAGCAAGCACATCCATGGTGGCAACCGACAGGATCCCCCAAGAGGCTTGTGGGTTTCTAGCTACTTCTCCTTGTTCATCGACACTGGTTTGAGGCTGCAAGGGTTATGTCGGCCTAGAGCAATCTCCATGGCGAACGTTGAAATCTCAACCGTATCTCCACGAGCGTGTTCGGGCGATTCGCTTGCTGGGAAGTTGACCCCATAGGAGGTGGGCATTGGGCAAGGTGGTATTTCAGCCATGAAGTCCAAGATTCCACAAAACTCGCAACACCCACGCCCACAAAAACATTCACCCTCGCCGTCCCTCACCGCCCTCCTCCAACTTGTGCCGCCCGCCATCCCGAATGGATGGGCTTCGATCGGCGATGGTAGGGAAGCAGTTTGATATCAGCAATAAGCCCGTCCCACCCGGAGCCGATCGTGAGTGTTTGGCTTGTTATGGCCATGTGTCTGGCACGAGCAAGACACGAAACATCCATCCAGCTGATAAATCAAGGTGAGCTGTTTTTGCTTGCCTCGGTCTTCTGGCCTGCTGCGCTCATAGTTCAGCTAACATGGTCGAGCATGTGTGCAGTACGTGAGCCGTAGCCAAACTATCTAAAAGCAACACTTGTTTCATGATGCCGTCTACGTTGGTGACAAACTTCTGGGATGGGAGGCGCAAGGACGGAGGTCGACGGCATGTAGCAGTCTTTTGCTAAATCTGAATCACGATGCAAGGAAGCGACGTCTGGGCGATGTTCGGAGTTGACGAGCTTTGCCAAGAACGACCTGGCAGACCTGCTCTTCCAGAAGATCACCACGAAGGTGGAAGTGCTTTCTCTGAGCTGATCTTTCAACAAATCCTCGGCACAGCTTTGGACTCGCGAATCCCAGATTCCCCTTCCTATCCGCCAGATTGCAGTTTCCGTGCCAGGCGAAGTACGGCGACAAGTTCTCCGCCGTCATCATCATTCCGCTAGCAACAGAAGAGTCTGAGTCACTCAACTGCGCTTCCCGGTACTAAAGTGAAGTCGCTCATGGAACACCATCCGCCTGACCTTTCCCCTCGCTCTCCTTTGACAAAGGACCCAGTACCCCAACTTGCGGACTGCGCAGTGCCTCGTCGAGGCGGGCTTCGTCTGTGACCCTCCAGCAGTACGTATATATTTATATATTTTCGGCATTTCGAAGGCGTTCAGAGGTGTACGCAGCGCTAATTACTTGCAGTCTCCCGCAGACCCTCGAAAATTGGTCCGTACGGGCTCCTCCAGAAATCAGGTGGGGCGTCGATCTGGGCAACTGCTCCTTTCAGCACGCCCTGCCATAGCTCCTTCACCTTTTCCGGAACAAAACACATTAGATCATCAAACGCGGCTTCGGCCGTCCATGCTCTGCTGATCTCTACTTCCGAAGCTTCCCAATCAGAGCCCAGCTTCACACGAGCACGTTCAGGGGTCCCGCATCTGTTCCAATTCTCTCGAAGCAAACCATTCCAGTCGATAGAAGCATCACTGGACATGAATTGCCACAAAGAGCACTCCGCCTCCGCAGTGACATGGGTAGCCTCCACGTAGGGCTTGTGCCATTGCTCTTCCTGGTCCAGAGCAATCATCATGAGGTGCGAAGTATCGCTGTCCCATTGTCCTTCCGGGTCGTCATGCCAAAGTAGGGCAGCATCCATCGCCAGCTGCCCAACCACAATCTTCTCCTCGTGAAAGTACAATGGGAACTCCGCCAGGCTGTCCATGATGAAGTCCCGGATCTCCTGGATCCCATGCCATCGGGCCCGATCCGTTAGGCCCTCGCAAATGGCACGGTAGGCTTGCCGTTGCTCATCAACCCAAATCTCAGCCTCGCCGGCCGGGTTGGGAAGATGCACCTGTTGCGTCGGTGCAAGGTTGAACTCCTCCATACTCCGCCTTCGGAATTCCTTGCTCCCTTTGCCCGGCATCACCCCCGCCGCAACTCTGCCATGTGTCCGGAGCCAGGAGACACACTTGGCTGAATCGCGTAGGTGCGTACTGAGCCTCTCCATGTTCCAATATTGCCTGCCACAGGCAGCACAGACCGAGCCTTGTACACATGCCCTGAATGCCGCCTTTCGGCCATGGCTTTTGAACATGTGGGCTCCCAGCCCCCTTTCGACTTGAAAGAGCGACGGCAGCGTCTGCATCCCCAGACCCGGGGGAGGGATTCGGCAGTCTGCTGCTGCCTTACTAGCTGCCTGTGCATGTACCACAGACCAACCTTCGTGGCCTCCTGCTTGCAGTCCGCCTCATATTTGGCCTGGAGCGTCTTCTTGACCCTCTGCTTAAACTGGTTCGCATTCTTCTGGAGGTAGTGCCACCATCGGGGCCAGTCCGCAGCAGTCAGGTCGGGCATGTCGGGCTACCTGTGTTTGATCAACGCCAGGTCCTTGCTCACCACTGTAAACCATTGCTGTTCTCGTTGGAGTACAGCCCAGAGTGGGACCGGCGCACTTCGAACCATCGCTGTAAGGGCCCCGAGGCGGCTCTTGGTCGCCTGTAATTCGAGGCTCCAGCTGCGTGTCGCAATGTGCACAAAGGGAGCTGGCACGTCAAACAGCCGATCTCCCTTGTAGCGCGTACCAAGCAGACGGCGGAGAAGTCGTGTGTATCCTCCGCACAAGGAACGCCATGCTGGTCCTGCTGGTATCCAGAGGGCAATGTTGTGAAATGTTGACAGGATAGCCGTCTCAAACATCTGGGTGCGGATGTTGAGGGGGATCGTGGCATTGGAGAAGATGAGCTTGTTTCCCGCCTCCAGCGATGAGGTGGCGATAACAAGTCTCCTCCTCATTTCCGGTTTCATCTCCATTCGGCGATCCAAAACTCCTCCAAGGTGCGTATATTGCGACGCCACCGGGACTGCCGCCTGTAGGTCCGCCAGGGGCAGAGATCGCCTGTCTCCGTCAAAGTGGGTCCTCCTGGCCTTCTGAACCCCTTTGCCCGTAAGGGCCAGAACCATCGTGGTTTTTCCAACTTTGAGGTTCGGCTGGAGGCCGTAATCCTCACAGATGGAGATGGTAAGGGATGCCAAGCGTTTTCCCGTGCGTATACAACGGTCAGGCACCTCGTCATCGAACATCATCGCCGTATCGTCGGCCCACGTTACGTCTCGAATGGACGTTTCCAAACCAGTCTTTGGGGGGGCAAACAGTCCTTCCGAAAGATCCGCACACTCGGCACTCAGTAAGTCCTCCCCACATGCCGTCTCCCATATTTTACCTAACACACGAGTGTAAATATATGAGAAGACAGCGTCCGCTAGGGACTCTCCGGGGCGACTGCCAGCCTTGGTGACCACCACTCGCGTCCCGTCGGTGTGCCTTGAGACACACCATGTTCTGTGGTGCACGTCCTTCAGCTGGGCCTGTAGTGCTTCTGGCATGCCAGTCTCGTTGACGATCCCACCTGCATTGATGGTGGCCCAAAGCCCAGCCATTTCTTCCGGACCCATGTTGAACCGCTTCATGAGCCATGCGATGGTCTCGTCGTAGCAAATGTCGCCAACCATTGCTTCTCTCAGCACCCGGTAATAAGCAGCCGTTGTGTCCAGGAATATCGCTCCAATGGAGCGATGGTGTTTTTTTGCAGCCACGAAACCTCGCAAAGACATATAGAGAAGCAAAGATCAGCGGTTCCCCAAATGTAGATCATGAAGTTCTGACTGCAGTTGCCGCTGGGTTTTGTTTCGGATGAGCCTGTGATAGCTCTTGCCAACAACGCTGGAAATAAACAATGATCTGTGACTTGTGGGGCATGAGATTGCCCCAGACTTCTTCCAGGCCGTGAATATCACCCCACCCCTCCACTGTAGTGGCTGGGTAAAACCCAGCGCAGCACGCAGGACAGTCGGGAACAAAGCCATAGCTGCAGCTGCCGGCGAGGCCCTGAGGGCCTCACCAGGTATGCAATCCAAGCCAACTGCTTTGTTCTTTGGAATCGTTCTCAAAATCGTTTCCAACTCTTGGACTGTAGGCAGGTCGGCCGGGCACCACGTAACACCAGCACCAAAGTGATCGGCTACATCAGGCTGTTTGAAGGCAGCGGTCGGCATGACTGTGCCATACTCCTGCTTCCCAAAGTGCTTCAGCCAAATCTTGTCGTAGTCCGCCTGGCTGGACGCTGCCTCACCATTGGTGTCAAGGAGGAGAGGAAGCGGCCTGTCGCCCCTACTGTTTTGACGGCCACCGACACCAAACTTCTTCACTCGCTGCAAGATGCCCGCGGCACTCTGGGGGCCCTCTCTGACAACATCCTGCAAGAAGCTCGCTTTGCCCTTGTATATCTCCTTCTTGATCTGGTGCGTCTTGAAGGTGATGGCACTAGCAGCAAGCTGATACAGCAGGCCGTCTTTTCTGGTGACCATGTCAAGCAGTCCTGCAATCCCATGTCGCCATTGCAGCAGTGCAGCATGTAGGGCACGCTCCCACACTGTCTTTCGGTCCTTGGTTCGCTTCTTCAGGCTCAGCTTCTGAGCCCTCCAAACCCAGACCTTGTCCGGAACATATGACGTTCGGTGGACCCTTGGTGGTGGGAAATAGTCGGCAAGCACTTGCTGCACGTAGTCCTGGAAGTGCTTGTACTGGTTGTCGATGTGCTCCCACCAGGGCAAGGCTTGATAAGCCTCATACGCCCTTCTCAAGATCTCACGCCCTTCCGACGTCATCATCTTCGCACGGTCGTACTTTGGCCTGTTGAGCTTGCGGCTCCCTTCTCTGAGACCCATCCATCCGCCCAGGTCAAGTCCCACCACAAAGTGGTCATCCCTTACTGAGCCGACATCAATCGCCTCATCGACAAAGCTGCGAATCCCATCTGGGTGTGTTCTCCCTCCCAGTGCGAGAAAGTCTATGCGATGAAGGTTGCTGGTGGGATGTCGGAAGGTCGCACTGCTTCCTGGGTGCAGCTCTCTGTACGTGGCCGGAAGCCAGAGATTGCATGCGTCTAGCATCGTAGTAAACTGCTCTCCTTCTGGGTCACTTTCTCCAAACTCCAACAGGCCAGTAACCTGAGCGAATCCCGTTGGGGGTCTGCTGTTGGAGTCGATGCCCCCAATGACAATGTCTGCCTTTCCGGCTGCTCGTAGACATTGATGCAGTTCACAAAGGAATTCAACACGTTCCACCTTCTTTGTTGCATGGGGGATGTGGGCAGAGATCAGAATGCACCTGAGCCCGCACTTATTGACCTCAACAACCAAGATTCGGGGGCCCTGTTTGCAGATCTTGACATCACTTTCATCCACGCAAAGGGCTTTGTCCCCGATTGTCATGAGCCCCTGTTTTCTGTGGATCCAAATCGCAACTCCCCAATGCTTGGCCGCACTAGTGGCCATACGTAAGTAGTTGCCGCTTTCAACAACACCACCCTTGTCCTTTGTCTCCTGGAAAAACAGGATCTGGTAGTCGCTGTCGTTGAACTGCTCGTCGAGGTATTTGTGCTTGCCCTTCATGCCCTGAACGTTCAAGGTGGCACAGCGAACCCTAAAGGGTTGCGCCTCATCTTTGCTGCCGCAGCCAACTGTATCTCTGATAGGTATCAAGTCTTCTAGCCGCAGCGGGCTGGGTGCAGGGTTGCACTGTTCATCAACCACCAGCCACTTGCCCGCTCTCTGTCTGATGACGTCCTTTGGTCCCCAAGTCGCTATCGCCGCCATCCAGTCCATGTTCAAGGACATAAATGCCGCACAGTTGGACGATGGGGGGGGCAAGGTCACCTGTACCCAGCGCGGCCGCCTTCGCGGCGACATCCACTAGCTCATTCCATTCCTGTCCTTGATGAGCCCGGATGTGGGTGAACTGGTGGATAGTACCACGTACATAGCGCTCCAGGTTGCGTAGGCGGACTGTGAATTCATCCTGGCCACTCCATTCACCACTCGCACCGAGGCCTGCAGCGCAGCAGTCGAACAGTACTCTGGCGTGGCTAAGTTGGATGTGTTGAGCACTCTGCCCAATCCAAAGAAGCGCCACTGCCACTGCCACCTGTTCGGCCATGAGTGCCGGTGCCCGGGTATCTTCTCCCCAAAGGGTCTCGCCTCCGCCCAGTATAGGTCCGCCCACCATACCAAACAAGGCTAGCAACCCCGAGCATCGTAGGAAGATGGCCACCGCGTAGCCACTCTTTGTTTTCTTGCTGAAGTAGGATCCATCTACATACAGCTCCGCCTCAAGTGCGCCCTCCCGTCCGCCTGCCAGCAGTACTTGAGTCCAATGAACCAGGCTCTTCATGGCCTCCTTGGTCTCCTGGCGCAACTGCAACAGGCTAACGTCAACGCTGAGCCAGTCCGGCGGCCATATGTGGAAGGTCTGCCCAATCCTTCTCACATCATGAGGGAGCTCCAGCAGCTCCTCCTGCAGGTCATAGCTGACACCAGGGAGTCTGTCCGCGAGCAGGAGCTGTCTGTCTCCCATCTCAGGTGTGCGCTCTGGGCTCCTTCTCGGACTCCGGCTCCTTGGCCGGTTGACAGGTACTGGAGGGGGCGGTCCAAACGGACCTGGGCCCCTTGGGGGGCTTCCACGTGAGAACTCAGAAGATCCAGGGAGCGCTCCTCTCGACCCGCTGGATGAGTCGTCATCCGACCCATCATCCTCTTCTTGCTCGCCCTCTGACGGCGTCAGCTCAGCCGTTCTTCGCAAGGAAACTTCCAGCAACTCTCCGTCGGCGACTTTGAGGATCGTTGGTCCCCTGTCTCTCCTTCCTCCCTGGACTACAAGGGAGTAATCCTGGACGTACTCGACCTGGATGTCTTCGAGGTACGCCCCAATGTCAAAGTGTTCTCCTCTGATGGCCACCCATTGGATCCAGCCACCAATGCCCCGGAGGTCAACTATCACTGTACGGTAACTGTCGCCCGGGTAGGTGGAATTCGGGATCACCGCAATCACAGAGTGCAGTCTGCGGCCTTTCCAGAAAAGCCGGTGTGGCCTTTGGATTGGCACACGTAGTCTGATGTCCTCTGGGCGCTGACCGAATGCACCGCTGGCAACTTCAATGGGGCTTGCATCCACCACCCTGCTGAGCTTATGCAGGTGCTGGTCGGTCTCGCTCAAAAATGCCACGTACTTGCCCTCCATGTTGTTCGGGTGGTCCGTGTTGGGGTTCCACCTGTCCGGGTCGTTGAATCTATCCTGCACCTGTGTTGGCCATTCCACCACAGTGCCTCTTCTGACCAGCTTGATCGTCCCGCAGTGCTGGGCATCAACACTGCCTATGTCCGGCAGAGGGTCAAATGATCCAAAAGCGTATAGGCCTCCACATCTGGCTCCTGACATTCTGCCTTGTGCAAGGCCACGTATTTCGAGATGGGGCCCTCGTGGAATATCGAGAAGACCGAGCCCCCAACCAAGGTCGCGTCGATGATAACCACAGTCCGTTCAGAGCCATTGACCCATTGCGGCAAGATCAGGACCGTCCCGTAGTCACTGTAGTCCTCATGGAGCTGCTGCTGCGCGAAGACAGCTTCATCCATCCATTCCCGATCTAGATGCTGGGCTGACTCCAGTATAAACTCAAGGAGGCGGTCTTCCTGAAGCGGGAAGGACATGGCCAAATCCAATGATTCATTTTCAAAGGCCGGCGAAAGGAGCCGGAAGGAGATGTGGTGGGTCATCTCCTCATTTTCGTCAATCCAGTGCCATTCGGCACCCTCCTCTGTCACATGCGCTGGCAGATCCGGGATTTCTGCTACCATTACAGCAGGTCCATCGGCATGTACACTGTGCGGGAGGACACCCCCACTTTGTAGCAGGCTGCTAAGCACTGCTTCGTGAAGGGCTCGAAACCTTTGCTACAGCTGCCCACTCGCCCAAATTTCCAGGTCCGTTGGTGCAGGCAATCTTGTCGGGATGATCGGTCGGCCTTCCTCCGCTCCCGGTATAGCCTGTCCAGGCTGCACTTGCAAAGCCACAAAGGCAACCCAGATAAGGGGGAAAGCTGGATGCCGATGTGCATTTCCATGACGTCTAGCAAACGGACGATTCCACCTCAAGAGGGCAGCCATCGCCATCAGCTGTGTCAGGAGCAGAAGTCCGAATAGGGTCTTGCTCAGGGTTGGATGCATTTGGGGCGCGTGGACAAGCGCCCGCTGCATTCCGGAAGTAGTTCCAAAAGTTCCACAAGTTATACAAGTTCTAGAAGTTCTAAAAGTTCTAAAAGTCCTAAAAGTTCCACAAGTTCTAAAAGTTCTAAAAGTTCTAGAAGTTCTAAAAGTTCTAAAAGTTCTAAAAGTTCTAAAAGTTCTAAAAGTTCTGAAAGTTCTAAAAGTTCTAAAGGCTTTAAAAGCTTTAAAAGTTCTAAAAGTTCTACAAGTTCTAAAAGTTCTAACAGTTCTAGAAGTTCTAAAAGTTCTCAAAAGTTCTAAAAAGTTCTAAAAGTTCTAAAAGTTCTAAAAGTTCTAAAAGTTCTAAAAGTTCTGAAAGTTCTGAAAGTTCTAAAAGTTCAAAAAGTTCTGAAAGTTCTGAAAGTTATCAAAGTTCTCAAAGTTCTAAAAGTTCTCAAAGTTCTCAAAAATCTAAAAGTTCAAAAAGTTGTCAAAGTTCTAAAAGTTCTAAAAGTTCTAAAAGTTCTAGAAGTTCGAAAAGTTCTAAAAGTTCTAAAAGTTCTAAAAGTTCTGAAAGTTCTCAAAGTTCTAAAAGTTCTAAAAGTTGTCAAAGTTCTAA